TTTTTTTTTTGCAGAAAAATGGCAAAACCGTTTCTCACTTAAATATCTAATTGCTGGTTGAAGGGGTGGTGTTTGATTGATATTGAATAGTTTATGTGACAGTTAGAAAATGGTGTTACAACTATTAAATGTTATTAGAACCACTTAATAATAAATAATAGAGTGAGATAAATAGTAATATATACGTGCCCAATTTAAGAGATACCACAGTGGACTTTTCCCTCATTAAGCTAGTGGGGGGTTTCCCCCGGGGCCATAGATTGCATAGTAAATACTAGTTGCCTATGTAATTTATAGCTTATGCAGAGAAATTCTTGTTTCTCAGTTGATGGGGAGGATACTTGCTAATGTAGTTACGACACTATACCTGGGGACTTACGTCTCCAGTGAAGTACAGTTGCCACCTTTTTTAAGAGAGAGCGCTGGGACGGGAGAATTTCAGGAAGTAAACACACAACCCGGGAGACTTTCAGAGCCTTCAGGGTGTTGGTGACAGGCGGGGCCTCTCTGCCGGGTCTGTGCCGGGGGCAGCCTGCGTGCGGAGCGCCTGGAGGCTCGCTCACAGTGAAGCTCCTTCCACCTGAGAGCGCTCAGGTTGATCACAGTCACGCCTTTTCTTTCTTTTTATCAGATTATTGCTTCAGCCAATTACATGCTTTCAGAACTCTTTCAATTGGATGAACCTAAAAAAGAAGAAAGTTCAGAGTCTCCCTTAAATGAGAATTCTGATGAAAGTTACAGTGAGGAGGAGGAGGAGATGCCAGACAGCGATGAAAATGGGTCCTATTGCACCAGCTCGGACCCTCCCGACGACAACAAAGCAGTGGCCATCATCAAGTCTGTTGGAGAACTGTCAGTTCCAGAGAAGTACAAATCCATCCATCAGATCAGAGTAAGCATGTTTCAGTGTGTATTGAAGTGGCACCAGGGGAAAAACAACAGTGGGCGAGTGCGCACAGTCAGCCTCTCAGAGGATGGCGTTGCTGCATTGTAACCAAGACCCCGGCTCATGAAGCAATTAGATGATAAAGACGGAGTGATGTGTAGTGTACAGTTGTTCACAGGGGAACACTTTCTGTCCTTCTCTGAAGCACTCCAAAAATGTCGTCAGTATTCACATAAACGTCTCTAGTTGGCTTGGCCTTCTCAGTGTCCCTTCTGTGAACCCTCACCTGAGGATATTTTTCCCATTGATGTTTAGAGAAAGTGGAATAGAGGGAAGGAGGGGGAGAGAGAAATGTTGATGTGAGAGACATAGCGATTGGTTGCCTCCCGCATGCATCCTGACCACCTGGCCGGGGACCGAGCCTGAACCGAGCACATTCGCTTGACTGGAATCAAACCCATGATCCTTCAGTTGGTGGGCCGACGCTCTAATCCTGAGCAAGACCAGCCAGGGCTCTGTGTCCTTTTTGAAACGGAGCATCGTCCAGAGCCCCGGCCCCAACACGGACTCTCTGTGCTGTTGGACAGACCGCTCACCTGTGCTCGCTTCTCTGCAGTCCAGTCAGCGTAACCCACCCTCTGGGGAGTCGCCAAAAGGAAGTGCCCTGCAGAGGCCCTGCCACAGAGCACCACTCAGTGGGTGGGGCTGTTCCCTGGGCTTGCCCTAGGGAGCATCAGGGATACAGTGAGACCACTGGTGACTGAACTTGCTGCTCAGTTGATGGTGGTGGTAGCTGTGCTACCCAGTGTCCGTGCTGATTAGAAGTTGAGCTGACCTAGGAGATTAGGTGTACATTTATCTAAAACATTACTACTCACGTTCACTTTTTTGTTGAGTAGAATAATTTTTAACATTATAAGTACTTAAAGCAACACGTATGCTGGAAGATCTTTTTGTTAAGCAGGATTTGTGTTGATGATGCTTATTATATCAGTTGAATCTGCAATTAAAACACTACATTAACCTTAATACCTCACTAAGCTGAGTACACAAGCACATTTTGAAATTACTGATTTCTAGAGGTTTAGTAATTCCCAGGAACTGAGAGGTGTGGAATTTGTCACACTGGTCGCATAGTAATAATTTTAAATGTTTGTTTCTGAAGCCCAGTTGTGCGTTTCCAGTTTGCCATGACACCGAAGAACGCTGCAGACTTGTGCTTAGCTATGTTCTGGAGGTGAGTTTGTTGGTGTCTGAAGGATTTCCTGCTGTGGGTTTTCTCTCTCTGAAGCATAAAGTGAAAATTAGCTTTTTCCAACTCTTTCAGGTCAAATGTAGTTTTTAAAATATAAATTCTCCTAAATGCACTCAGTAGTTCAGATCCTGCCTTATATTTAGTTTCTAGTTGAGCTTCAGTTACAGGCACAGTAACCGTGTCTCCTTGCTTTAAAGGGTTTAAAATCTGTGGACAGCAGCATTAAGAAAGAAAGCGACCTCCCTGCAGCTGACCCCAGCACCCCAATCCCGTTGAAATATGAAGATGAATCCGCAAGGGGGGGTCCTGAGGGTCTGGAGAAGCAGATGGCCTTGTTTTTGGACAAAAGTAAGTTGAATTGATGTGCAAATAAGGCCTTTTCCGGAGAACAAGATGCTAGTCCTTGGCCAGCAGCCGACTTGTTTGTGTCAGTGAGGCATTCATTGCCGGACCAGGAGGAGAACATGTGAGTGGAAAGGAGGGGAAATGTCCGGTCCTTCAAAGCAAAACAGCGGATCGCTTTGATCCTTCACGGGTGTCTCTAGTGAGAACCTCGGGTGCTTCTGAGACACCCCTGCCTCAGCGAGAGCCGCAGGGGTTTCAGAGCAGCCGGGCCCAGCCCTGGCTCGCATGCAGCTCTGCTAGGCTCACTCCAAGTGAAGACAACAGTAGTGCCTACTTCAGAGGGTTGGGACAGTGCACTGGTAAGCCCTGCCCGGCTCCTAGCCGCTCTTGCCTCGGGGCAGTACCTGATAGGCCAGAGCCGTCACTGAGAAGGTCATCTCGCTCATTCTGGGAGCACCACTTCCTGAAGAACATGTGGGTTTTGAAGTAAAAGTCTGAGTTTCTGGTTTATTTTAATCTAAATTACATTTATTTTCCAACCTTATCTCCTCCCCCTTTAAAAATCTGTTTCAGTTTAAAAATGTTTTGAAAATCTGTGAGTGGGCAATAATACCCAGTGCTTTGGGATCTTCTCTTCATGAGCATAAAGGGGGGGGGGGTAGTCTCCCCAGCATTTATGTAGCACTTCTGGGTGCCAGGCTCGAACCCAGATACGATGAGAACCGCCCAGGACGTAGACACTGTGCCTTTTCATGGTGCTTTTTCTGAAATGCCTTTCTGTCTCTTCCTCCCTCCCTCCCCCTCGCAGCTGTTGAAAACCCAGCTCCTGGTCAGGGTCTCCATGCTCCCCTCTGTGGCCAGCGGAAGGACTGGGTCCCCTGCCACTAGGCCTGCCTTCCCCCACCGTCAGCTGTGCTTGCACAGACACCTTAGTCAGCTTCAGTTCTCACATGCCTCACACAGAGTATGTGTATGGAGTAGGGAAAAGATGTACATGCACGAGTAAGACCACAGTAGAGACTGTTCATCGCTTTGAAAGACTCGTGTTGTATCTGATCAAAATGAGAAATCTTGAGGCTGGGCGATGGGGGAGGCTGCCCCCACGGCAGTTTGTTCTGTGTGAGCCTGCACGTGTCCCCTGAGGCGGTTTATGGATCAGCCTGGGGTAGAGGCCACGTCACTTCATGTCGTTTCTGGTGCCTGGCACAGTGCGTGGCACAGTGTGATCATTTTTGGGTGAAGAAGGTGTAAGAGGCTGGACTTGAAGTGAAGGCTGTTCTGCTACAGGAAGCGGTCCAGTGGACGGAGGTGGGCAGCGAGCAGTCACCTGGCTGTGACTGATGGATGGATAATAGGGGAGGAGGGCTGGGAAGTGAGACTGAGAAAAGGTAGCTCAGGAAGTGGGCTGAGATGCTTATCACGACTTAGTAAGTAGTGAGAGGCTGTTTCAGTGCTTCGGAGCAGGGCTCCGCCGTGATTAAAGCCGGCTTTCGGAAGGTAAGCTTTCTGGCAGACTCCCGGGCAGACTGGAGGCAGGAGGCGGGTGTCGGTGGTGAGTGGAGTGACGTCAGTGACCCTGAAAGAGAGTGACGGCTGCCGCTGCTGGGAGGCGGAGGCCCGGGAAACGCAGAGCGTCTGTGGAAACAGTTTCCCTCCGTGGTTCCTTGACACGTGGTGTTTACCAGTCTTGTCACAACAGTAGCGCCTGAGCCTGGAGTGAGTGCTCTATTAAGAAGCAGAAACTACTTGTTCATGGTGCCCCACGTGAACATGAAACGTGCTCCCTCTCCCCGTGTCCTAGTGGGCTCCCTGCAGAAGGGCAATTGCTCCAGCCAGTCCGGAATGACCCCTGGCTCCTGGCAACATAAAATGAAGCTCCAGCTGATCCTCAAGTCATCAAAAGCCTATTACGTGTTGTCTGACGCTGCCATGAGTCTGCAGAAATATGGACGCGCGCTCCGATACATCAAATTAGCTCTGCAGAGCCACGGTGAGCCCCTGCGAATGAGCATGTCACAGGCTTTGGGAGGGGAACAGAAGACATCTGTGTCAGTAAAATTTTATTCCTACTTCTGTTGTAAAATTTAATTTTAAAACCATCTTTTGCATCTTGGGTGTCACTTAGTATTTTCTGCTCCAAGTGGTTTAATGACATCTTTATTTTGAAATGCATGAAGCCATGTTTGCTCTCTGGTATAAAATAAACTTAGAGTGGATACGGCTGGTAGCAGATTTTCTTAACACTTACTGTGTTCATGATGCACTTTTCCTCCTTCCCACTCTCCCCACAGACACTTACTGCTGCCTCTGCACCAACATGCTCTCCGAAGTGCTGCTGTTCCTCTCCCAGTACCTGACGCTCTGCGGCGACATCCAGCTGATGCTGGCGCAGAACGCCAACAACCGGGCGGCTCACCTGGAGGAGTTTAACTACCAGACGAAGGAGGACCAGGAGATACTGCACAGCCTCCACCGGGAGTCCAGTTGTCAAGGTGGGCGGCGGGACCCCGCGTTCCTGCACGGGGACTGTGGGAAAAGGGGCAGGCGTGTTGGTGCTTGATGCTGCTCTGTGTTCTTGTTTCTCAGTTTTAATGTGGAGCAAGCTTGTGTGTGTGTGTGTGTGTGTGTGTGGTAATTGCTACTTATACAACTAGAACTAACTATAAACAAGCTCTCAGACAATTGCGTCGACTTTCTGCACTTGTCTTCTCAGGAGGTTTTTCAATAAAACTGTAGTCAGCTGACCAGGCAGTGATTTCTTTAGAAAAGCAATAGCATTGGTAGAAGTAGATGGATTACCTTCTGAATAATTCCTGGGGCTCAGGCACTGAGATCATTTTTAAACTTAGTTCAGGGTTGGTAGTCTCACTAAATATGTCACTCTGTTTGGAGTTGTCCGATTTTTAAGCTGGAGACAGGAAAACGTAGCCCACAGCAGCAGGCCCCTCATTTTATTCTACTAGAATAAAATGTTGTGTGCTTTTTGACGTGAGAAAGGCCTCAGTGTGTTTTTCATTGGACTTATAATACGTTGTTGTGAGAATGACATTCTCTCAAGCATTTGGGTGGCATCAGGAGTGCTACCCTTTTTCCCCTTGAATTTGGGGCTCTGCACCCAAGTTTACTCCCATCCCCACTAGGTGGCGAGCTTGAGTCTGAGGGCCCATCCAGCAGCTTCTTCAGTGAGTCTGACATTGATAGGCAAGCGTTATAGTCCATGAGCCCCTGGTAGCTGCAGAGCTTTCCTGCAGGAGCTGCTCCCATTCAGAAAGAGCAAGGCGGTTCCCCTGTGTCAGCGACAGCGTCAGGCCCTCACCGGTGAGCAGGCGCACCTGGTGGAAGCTGGGGCACGGCAGTTGGCTGGTATTTCTAGCCAGGAAAATATTTCTTTTAATCAAACACGCAACCAAGGTACATGCCCTTGACCGGAATCGAACCTGGGACCCTTCAGTCCGCAGGCCGACGCTCTATCCACTGAGCCAAACCGGTTTCGGCAAGATAATAGTTTCTTAAATAAAGAGATCTTTGCTTCGAAGCTTAAATGTTTAGTTTTATTGGTTGAATCTTAGTATATTTATACTGTATTGCAATTACTTATTTTATTACCTTAAAAGTGTCAGATTACTTGGATACTAAGGAAGTAGGATTTGCATAATCACAGTGGTGACATTTCCTTTCTTTTAAGGATTTGCGTGGGCGACTGATTTGTCTACAGACTTAGAAAGTCAACTTTCTGTTAGTTGTAAATGTTATGAGGCTGCCAATGAAATCCTGCAGTTTAGTGACTTAAAAAGCCAAAATCCAGAACACTACGTACAAGTGCTGAAGAGAATGGGCAACATTAGGAATGAAATCGGGGTGTTTTATATGAACCAGGCTGCTGCGTTACAGAGTGAGCGAGTGGGTGAGTATCCCTTGGAGTCCTCTCTTCATTGCCTTTTCTATCAGAAAGTCACATGGATCTTGGCTCAAGCAAGGAACTGTGGCACTTGATTTTAAGTCCTGGAGCTGGGCCAGGCCTGGTGCTGTACGTGGTGGCTGCAGGGTCTCTCTCTGAGGCGAGGAGGCCGATGGGAACGTGCCTCTCTGTGCGCTGCCATAAGTGCTGCAGGCGCATTGCGATGGGAGGGAGGCGTGTGTGGAAGTTGCGGTGACTGGGAAGGCTTTGGTGAGGTCTGAGCAGATGGGTACATGTCACGTAGGACGTCAGCAGGCAGGTGTGGGGAAGGGAGGGCTGTCCAGGCTGAGAGGCAGCCCTGGGAAGGAGCCAGGATTGTAGGGTCGGTGGGTGTTTAGAAGGGGGCAGGATGCGCAGTTCCTAGGCGGGGAGAGGGCTGAGATAGAAGGCGAATAAGTTGTGTGCTTTTTGACCTATAAACCGTGCTCGACGTTAGGGACAAAGAGTTTATAGCTAGTGGGGGAACTGTGCTTTTAAAAAAAAAAGCCTTTTTTACTGTATGTTATATGTATTTATTGAGATTCAAGAACCTGTGCTTTGTAAGTCAGTGAAGGAGCATGGAAAGGGAAAGTCAGAACCCTAGGAAATTAGGGAGCACAGACTGTGCTCTTAAACTCAGTCTTCATAAGGCAGTGCCGTGCCAGAGGGCTTTATTTGCTGCTGTGGCACCAGCCAGCTGCTACTGAGGGGGCTGCGTTTGAGTGTGCATGGTTGCCATAACAGAGCCCCGGCGGGTGGCCTAGACCACTGATCTCTCTCACCCTGGAAGCGGAGGGTCCCAGCCAGGTTGGCTTTCTCTGAGGCTCTGTCCTCGGCCACCTTTTTGCTGTGTCTTTTCTCTGTGGGTGTCCCTGGTGTCTCTCTTATAACAGCACCAGTCATGTTGGGTTCGGGCCCCACATTATAACCTCATTTAACCTCAATTACCTCTGTAGAGGCCCTCTCTCCAAACACAGTCACGCTCGGCATGGAGGTGAGGGTGAGGGGAGCGCCCAGTGGGCCATGGCAGGTGTGGGGAGGGCGGGCGCTGCTGGACCTGCCCCCGTCCTCAGGATCCATCAGGAGACCCAGCGGGCTTCCTCGGGTGCCTGCTTACACAGGTTTTTGTTTTTTCATCTAGTGAGCAAAAGTGTGTCGACTGCAGAGCAACAATTGTGGAAAAAGAGCTTTTCTTGCTTTGAGAAAGGAATTCACAACTTCGAGTCAATTGATGATGCTACAAATGCTGCCCTCTTGTTATGTAACACGGGGAGGCTCATGCGGATTTGTGCACAGGCGCACTGTGGCGCAGGGGACGAATTTAAACGTGAATTTTCACCAGAGGAAGGCTTGTATTATAACAAGGTAACACATTTGCTCATGGGTTCATCCATTCATACCTAACTGCCACTTACCTTTCCCATTGCTCCACTAAAATACCATAAAACCAAAGTAATGAAAACCGTGGGCTGGCACAGGACTAGACAGACCATTGGGAGACTCAGACAGGCCTGAGTGTACTAGGCACTCAGGACTGGAGATGACACTGGCTTGGTGCGCAAAAGGTGATCTTCGGTGAAGTGTGTTGGCATAACCAGAGTAAACGTCAGGTGGATTAAAGATGGAAATGAACAGGTGAAACTGTAAAGGTACCAGGGGAATCAGCTCATGGCTGGGCAAGGACTTTCCCAGCGTAAAGAGCAGAAATCACAAAGTAAAAGATGGATCAACTTAAATGTGCAAAAATACAGTTTTTAAAGGACACAACAGAAAGCAAAATTGAAAAGCAAACCACCATCTAGGAGAAATATCTATAGCACAGGACAGATCCAAGGTTAATAAACTCTTGGTTTATAGCAGTTAGGAATCATTGAAAACACACTGTCCCCATAGAAGGGAGGACAAATGAACTTGAACAAGAAATTCGTATGTGTAGAAAAAGTAAATGTTTAATATGGAAGCAAAATTTCAAAATTTTAACTTTTAAGGGATTTAAAATTTGAGTTTCTTTTACTGATTAAATTATCGAGTACTTTTTGGCAAGTGGTCACACCCAGTTCTGGAGAAGGCGTGCCAAAGCAAGCACATGTTTAACCGAGTACAGGGAGCCCCCCTTGTTTACAAAAGATCTACATGGGAGCCTGCTTTCACTGCCAGGAGAAACCTGAAGAGGACTCCTGCTTCTAGAACGAAAGGGAAAAGTGAAGAAAGCATTCAGCCTTTGCTTTGCAGTGAGCTGTTCCTGAGGCAGTGTGTGCCCCAAGCCCGAGCACCCTCCCAGCTAGGCCCCTCCCGGAACCACACTCAGCGTCTGAGCTACATCTCTGCTGACTGCGTCCCTGAGTGAGCTGTGTCCTGAGAGTCAGAAAAGCCTAGGAGAGCTCAGGGTGTGACCCTTAACGTAACCCGTGCGGAGTGAAGCGCTTTGATGATGGTGAACGGAATAAAAATGCACTCAATGTTAGGTCTGGCAACCCTCAAAAATTTCCTCTATTAATGGTAATTGCGTCTTGTTGTTACGCCATTCGGCTTACCAGGGGTTTCACGGGAGCGCTCTGCTTCCCATTCCAGGGGAGCCTGTACTTCAGAGCTGCATAAATTTCCTCAGTGAGGCATGTTCACAGCGCTGCCTTCCTCCCCAACACGGTCCTTCCACATGTCCTCCCCAAAGCCAGTCACCACCCGGGACTGGGAAGAGGGGCGTGTTGACTCGATTTCCTCCGCCCAGGCCGTGGACTACTACCTGAAAGCGCTGAGGTCCCTGGGAACACGAGACAGACACCCTGCCGTCTGGGACTCGGTGAACTGGGAGCTGTCCACCACCTACTTCACCATGGCCACGCTGCAGCAGGACTACGCGCCGCTGTCCAGGAAAGCGCAGGAGCAGGTATGTGCCGCCGGGCTGTGCAGGAGCCTTCTGCCACCTGCAGCCTCTAACAGGTGCTGAGCGTCTTCCCTGGGAGCAGTGCTTCATGTTCTTAACTTTCTCATATAAAGTCATAGGCTTGTCTCTTTTATCCCCCCCCCCCCCCGCCCCTTAAAAAATAGATTGAAAAAGAGGTCAGTGAAGCTATGATGAAGTCCCTGAAATACTGCGACGTGGACTCGGCGTCTGCCCGCCAGCCCCTCTGTCAGTATCGAGCTGCCACCATCCACCACAGGCTGGCGTCCATGTACCACAGCTGCCTGCGGAATCAGGTATTGCCTCTCCCGGTTACGTTCAGGGCCGGGTCCACTTAAAAGTATTCTGGGTGCTTATGCTTCAGTGTCTACTTCAAATGCCTCCTGTTCTATTAGCTACTTAGAAAAAGTTGGCGAGTAGGCATTTTCCCTCTCTTATGCCGAATATTTTTCTGTACTATAATCAATTGGGTCTTAGTTTGCAAAATTATATATTTGCCTGGGTGTAGTATTTTGATTTTTAAAATATAGTTAGGCTTTGTAAGAGTAGCTTTGTGTAAATCTTGAAGTACCCATTTCCCATCTTCGAAATTTTTTATTGTGAAATAGAGCACGTAGGGACTTACAGGAAACGTGTACGTGAAAGAATCCCAAAAGGAAAGAAAGCCCTGCGTGCTCGGCTTGAGGTTGAGGGTGGAAGAGTGCTACAGGATCCCTGGGCGCCCCTCCCTATGGAATCTCCCCACACCCACAGAGTAGCCACCATCCTGCATTTTCTGTGCCTTCTCTGTGTTTTGCCACTTAGACAATATGGTCTTTTTTTTTTCTTTTAAGATCTTTTGTTGATTTTTAGAGAGAAAGGGAGAGAGAGGGAGAGAGAAACAGCAGTCGGTTGCCTCCTGCACAACCTCAACCGGGGGTTTTTAGAGAGGAAGGGAGAGGGAGGGAGAGAGAAACAGCGATTGGTTGCCTCCTGCACAACCTCAACCGGGGATGGAGCCTGCAACCTGGGCCTGTGCCCTGACCAGGAGTCAAACCGGCAACCTTTTGGTGCACAGGACAACGCCCAACCCACTGAGCCACACTGGCCAGGGCAATGTGTACACATTTACCTGCTTGTGAATGGTGTAGAATGAGCCATACTGTGCGTTCTCTTCTGTGGCTTAGTGGCCTTTCCTTAGCATCACGTTGAGGTTCCTCTAGGTCAGTGATTCTCAACCTTCCTAATGCCACGACCCTTTAATACAGTTCATGTTGTGGTGACCCCCAATTTCATTGTTACAAACTGAACATAATTAAAGCATAGTGATTAATCACAAAAACAATATGTAATTATATATGTGTTTTTCGATGTTCTTAGGCGACCCCTGTGAAAGGGTCGTTCGACCCCCAAAGGGGTCGCGACCCACAGGTTGAGAACCGCTGTTCTAGGTGGTGCGTGTGGCTGCTCATTTCCTCAGCGCAGTAGTCCTCGTGATTACATCATGGTTTGTTATCCCTGCAGTGATTGCTGGACTTTTTGTTGTTCGGCTGAGCCTATGAGAACTAATCTCTGAAGAGTCTGTGCACGGAGCCTGGTGCTCGGGTGCCTGTGTGCCTGCATCCGTTCCTGGAGGCCTGGGCTGAAGGGGCCGCCTCCAGGGAGGCTGCGTGCTCCTGCTAGAGTCCGCTCAGTCCCTCGGGTCGGCTCTCATTTCGTGGGCTTCCTTTCTTAGCTCAGCTCCACGTGCTTCTCTGCACTCCCTTGGGCGAGGGTTACTTCTGAGTTTCCTTTATCCTTAGATGATTGTCCTTGAGGCCCTCGACTCTCCCTTTGCCCACAGGAGGCCCCTAACCACAATTCCAGTTTGCTCAGGTGGCCTCATAGTCTCAAGGCAAAAGCGAGCTTAACAGTCCAGGACAAGCCAGTGGGGGAAGAATGGTCTTTTCAGCGAATGCGCTGAGACAGTGGGCATCCATGTGCAGAGCGGGGTTGACTCCTGAGTTACCCAGAAGTGGAGCGAAGGCCTCGATGTGAAAGCTAAAACTGTAACACATACAAACACCGCCACTGAAATCACGCGTGGCCCAGGCGGAGACGAGGTGATGCTGTGGCGCAGCCCCGCCTCCCGCTGCTCTCACTGCCTGTGGTTCCAGGTCGGGGACGAGTACCTCCGGAAGCAGCACCGCGTGCTGGCCGACCTGCACTACGGCCAAGCGGGGAGGCTCTTCCAGCTGCTCAAGGACACGCCCTGCGAGCTGCTGCGGGTGCAGCTGGAGCGGGTGGCCTTCGCCGAGTTCCAGATGAGCAGTAAGTCCCGTCTCCCTCCTCAGAGTGGGCGTCGGCGTCGGGCTGGGTTCTCCTAGAGCCAGGCAGACCTGCGGTCTCTCTCAGGCATAAGGAGTGGGTTTTTTTGTCTTTGTTCTTTTTCCCACAGTCAGTGACTTTGGGTAGAGACCAGAGAGAAATGGACTAGATTCTGTTCGGTGACTAGAAATGTTGAACCATAGCCCAGGAGCCCATATTTGAAAAAAATGGTGACAGGGCAGTTTAGACAAAGACGTAAGTCATTGCGGACAACTGGGATGAGGGAGCAGCGGGAAAGGAGAGGCGGCCCCTGACTCCCTGTAACATGCACGATGCTGCAGCTGGGGGTGGGCTTCTGGAACAGGCCACCTGCAGGCGCTGGGCCAGGTCAGGTAACAAGGATGTGAGCTCCCGAGGGTGGGGTGGGAGCTTGGTGGTGTCTGGTGGCTGAAGTTTATTCAGGTCAGAGGATAAATCGAATCCTGGCTTAGCTGGTCTGGCTGCTGTGAACAGCAAGTTGGTGGGACACCTGGTACTTAGTGCCACAGAGACTTGCCCAGCATCATGGGGCTGGTCCGAGGTGGGGTGGCCTTCGTGCCGCAAGCTCCTCCCGGCTGGTCCACTCGAACCAGACTCTCCCAAGAGCTGTGCTCGCTCAGCAGGACCAAGTGGGAGGCAGGGGACCGGGGACTAGCTGTTGCTCTAGGCCAGCGGTTCTCAACCTGTGGGTCACGACCCCTTTGGGGGTCGAACAACCCTTTCACAGGGGTCACCTAAGACCATCGGAAAACACATATATAATTACATATTGTTTTTGTGATTAATCACTATGCTTTAATTATGTTCAATTTGTAACAATGAAAATACATCCTGTATATCAGATATTTACATTATGATTCATAACTAGCAAAATTAGTTATGAAGTTGCAACGAAAATAATGTTATGGTTGGGGGTCACCACAACATGAGGAACTGTATTAAAGGGTCGCGGCATTAGGAAGGTTGAGAACCACTGCTCTAGGCAGACGCACACTTTCCTCTGGGGTCGTTGCTAAGGAAAGTTGGGGTTAGAAGATGTGCGTCTCTTGAGCTCCCTTGACAGCGTTTGAAAGTCAGACTTGTTATTAGCGCATCGACTGGCTGGGGGTCTAGATTCCACACACAGGAACGACCACTTCGTGTCTCACACTCTAGGTCAGAATAGCAACGTCGGGAAATTGAAAACACTCTCTGGGGCTCTCGACATCATGGTGAGAACTAAGCACGCGTTCCAGCTCATCAGGAAGGAGCTCGTGGAGGAGCTGGGCCAGGTAAGGGAGAAGGGGTGCTCTCTGTGTTCCATGTCTACGCCGAGGGGTGAATGCATGTAGCAGGCATGTGGGGCGTGTGTGTGTGCAGGGTGGGCAAAAGTAGGTTTACAGTTGTCCGTATGGAGGATAATACAACAATTAACAAATAACAATACAAGAATCAGCTGTTTGGCTGCCCCACCCTGTATATACGAACATACATGTGTCAGCTCTGCATAAACACTCACAGTGACTTAGTACGTTTTCTTGGTGGAATTATTAACTCTTGAAGTTGCAGTGTATCTTTACATTTTAAAATAACCACTTAGACCTTGGTTAGGAAGGCCCTGGGTTCAGTCTGTTAAGTTTTGCTTTCGTGAGTGTTTTGTTTTTCTAAGAGAAAGAAGGGCCTGTGCCCTCTTGTAATTTCTGCTAAACTGCCGGGAGCAGTGGGGCCTTTGGTGTGCGGGCTTCCGGCGTCCCTGCTGCTGCCACCGAGCGGGAACCTCCCGGGACCGTGCTGCCCCAGCCGGCGGCTCTCCTGGCCCCGGCTTGTCAGGCCCCGTGGGGACCCATCGCCATCTTGTTCCTTTTGCGTCTGATGGTGGAGCGTTAGGTCTTCGTTCAGGGTTAGTTTCTTCTTCGTAGGTGCCTGTTAGTTGTGAGACAGTTTGTGTTGTGTTTGAGCTCATTAAAGTGATGCTGGGAGGGCAGAGGAGGAGATGCTGCTCACAGCCTCTGCCTCCGCCGCCACCGCACCCATCGGCCTGCCCTGAAGAAAGAGCTGGGTGCTGGCCGCTGGTTTTCCTTTAAAGCTGCTGGGTTCATGGAACCCAGGCCCATCGCTTCAGCGTGAACCGTAGCTGCTGGGAAACTTGGTGAGAAACTCCCTGTTTGCAGCCCAAGAGTGAGGAGCCGACGCCCGTGGCCGACTCGGCTCCTGGTCTGAACAGAGAGGAGGTGCTCAAGCTGCTCGGCATCTTCGAGTCCCGGCTGGCGTTCCTGCTGCTCCAGTCCATCAGGCTGCTGTCTCCCGCCAAGAAGAAGACAAGGTGAGCGCGCGTGTGCGGGTCTCCTGCACCTGCCTGCGGGGCGCACGGCCGCAGCACCAACGCTGGGGAGGGACGGGTGTGCTCTGGCCCGTCTTCCCCCAGGACCTGGGGTGGGTGTTCAGTGGGAACTGCTGGAACCAGCCCCGGGGCCTTCACACCAGCTGTGCCGGCATTGCAGCCAGGTGGAGGCGCAGTAGTCCTATGAGTCGGGTCTGGGCTGCAAGTCTGAGGGAATTCTCGCTCCAGGGAGGCAGCCCCCAGATGCTTCCGATGTGAACACCGGCTGAGGGAGCTCCCAGCCAGCCTCTCCCTGGAGTTCCTTCCCAGCGTGTGTCGTCGGACACTCCTTCCTGCTGGGTAGTGCTGTCTGCCCACCTCCACCCCACAGAGTGCAGAGGCCAGGGAGGCAGGGACAGGCTGGCCGTTCTGCTCACGGCCAGGAGCATTGCCTGTACATTGCGGCAGGCACTCAACTGTGTAAGGAATGGCTTTGGTTTTCATTGATATGTGGAAAGGAACGTCTAGAAACGCCCAAGCAACCAATCCCCAAGGTGTGGACCAGGCATGACTGGAGCACCTGCTCCCTGCAGACACAGGGACTGTGACGGGGGGGAAGGGGGCATCACTGTTTACGTCCCTTTTTGTTTTGTCCTGTTCTGTTCTGTTCACCCAGCAATAACATGGAAGAAGATGTGGCCCTCAAAACCAACAAGCACATTTACTCCCAGCTTCTGAGAGCTACCGCCAACAAAAACACCAGCCTCCCGGAAAGGATCGACGTCCTCGTCCACCTGCTGGACCAGCTCGCGCGCGGCAGCGCCGTGCAGTGACTCGCCAGGGCCACACCCCAGGCGCCTCGTCCGTGCCTTCTGCACTCGGGCCGGTTTGTCCACTCGGTGCTTCGTTATTAAACGCGTGGGAGGTACCCGCTCCAGTGGGCACCGCGCGGCAGCACAGCGTCCTCATTCCCCACAGACGGGCCGGCGAGCTCCGCTTCCGCGTGGGAAGTGCCGGAATCAGAGTGAGACGCAGCTCCGCGCTGCTCTCAGAAGCTGAGGTGTGGTGCCACGCGTGGGAAGTGCCGGAATCAGAGTGAGACGCAGCTCTGCGCTGCTCTGCGCTGCTCTCAGAAGCAGGGGTGTGGTGCCGTCACACTGTAAGTGTTGTTGAGTATGTTAAGCTACGTGGGTTTCAGACACAATTATTTTGGATAAATGTTACGTTAGGTCAAGGGGACCTTTATCCCGGGGACGTCGGTGGTCACGTGGTTAGAGCCACAGCGTTTCCCTCTGAACGGCACGGAAAGAAGTCGCCTTTCTAAGCTTCAGTGCGGGGTTTCCGAAGACCAGCCGTCATGCAGTTCTCCGTGTTAGTGCGTGTTCTGAAGGACCGACCCACTTCCCTTTGACTTGGATGACAGTTGACCAAGAATAGGTTCTACCCCCACTTTTATTTTAAACTTGAAACTGTGAATAAGGTCAGAAAACTATTTTGAATAAATAAGTTATTTATTTAAAATGTCTTCGTCTTTTTTCATTTCACGTTGTTTACATCAAATTTTGATTTGAACTGGTTTGATTAATAAATTTTACAGCCCTAACCGGTTTGGCTCAGTGGATAGAGCATTGGCCTGTGGACTCAAGGGTCCCAGGTTCGATTCCGGTCAAGGGCATGTACCTTGGTTGCAGGCACATCCCCGGTAGGGGGCGTGCAAGAGGCAGCTTATCAATGTTTCTCTCTCATCGATGTTTCTAACTCTATCCCTTTCCCTTCCTCTCTGTGAAAAATCAATAAAATATATATTTTTTTAAATTTTTTACAAATTAAGATTTTAAAAGCATTAAAAATAAGGCTCTGCCATCCACTGACTTCTCCCTGGACTGTCAAGGCGATGTGGCTCCCGGCGGCTGCACACACACTGCCCACTCTCCCGGGTCTGGGTGGTGCTGTGCTCGTCCCGCCAGGGTGATACGTAGACTCATGCGCCACGCCGCTGTGGACGAGAGCGGCCTGGCCTGCGCGTCCCCCGCCCGGCGGCCTACAGTGCCAGCCCTGGGTCGATCCTACAGGCCACCTGGCAGCCCCTCCAGCGACACCCCGAAGAAGGCTGACCTGCCCTGGAAACGGGAGACCTGTTTCCAGCTGGGTTTCACACACTGCGTCCTCGGGCAGATTGTCAGGGGTCTCCCGACACCGCGCGGACCCGGCAACGCTTGCAGGCCTCTCTCTCGCCATTTGTCCACTTCCTTGTTGTTTATTTGCATTGTCCTCGGACAGATTTGCATCCATTTTCAAAAGTTAGTCGTTGAAGCACCTAATGTTTTGACTAAATGGTAAAGCAGTTGTGAGTCAGCCATGTCTGCTCGCTGTCCTTGCGGCGAGCATGCGGCATCGAGGTCCTCTCTGTAGTTAGCCTGGACTCACCCGTGGACCTCTTCCAGTGGATTCCTGATCAGAGAGGGTCTCTCCCTCTGCGGAAAGAGCCGGAGGCAGGCACCCGAGCAACGCTCATCCTGGCCGACACCCACGGCCGAGCAGCCTTTCAGTCCAGAGAAATTTGTCTCTAAGCGAGAAGATACCGGCCCGGCTGTCTTCCCTTGTCAAAGCGTGGTGTGCAATTCTTATGGGAAGGGTGCTTCACAATGTTTTGTAATTTGCTGATTTTAATTTAAAACTGCTTCAAAGTGCTTGTGTTTTAGCTGTTCCTTAAAAGAATTGTGGCCCTAGCCGGTGTGGCTCAATGGATTGAACGTCGGCCTGTGAACTGAAGGGTCCTGGGTTTGATTCTCGGTCAGGGCACCAAAAAATAAAAAAAATAAAAAGAACTGTGTTTGTGGCCTGATCATGGGACTGTCGGTCCTTTCCCAGTTCCCCTCCGTGCCCAAATGTCCGTCATTCCAGATGACACAGGGTTCTGTCTGTGTTAAGAAGTGATGTCACATGAAAGGTAAAGGGACACAGTGCCTGTCCTCAAGGTCACTGACCTGGGAAACAAGCTTACACGGTGAGCTCAGGAGCCTTACGCTGGCAGTGAACTGCCCAGTAGTGTTTCCTGCTCTGAGGGGCCGGCCGGAGAGTGTCTGTCCAGGGCCATTGGGGTACAGGCCTGTTTTCAAGCAAAGAGCACCCAGGAGTGGGCAGAGCGCACGGGCCCCCGGCTGGATGAGGATGCGGGTCCAGAGCAACTCCGCGTTTGACCTGGGGCAGGACGCGTCTGGTGCCCTGCCTGCCCTGGAAATGGGGGTGCGGGTGCTGGCAGACGTGCTGGGACCTCAGCTACAGAGCCCTAACATCTGTGGGAAACAGACGGATTCCTCAGCGATTTTTTTAACCTGTCCTAAAAAAATCTGTAAAATCATTCGGTAAAAAAAAATTTTTCAAAAAATCAATCAAATGGATTTTTAAATCAAGTATTTTAAAAGTTCAATCATACTTTCCGCTTTGGTTTTAACTTGGGGCCCTGTTTGCTTCAGTTACTGAAAATCTGGTGGGTTTTCTAAGAGAAGTCGACTTTCTCTGAGAAGAGAAACCCTTTGGCTCTGTCCACGAGCTGCTTCCTCAGGACATGTTCAGGGTGGAGGTGTGGACATCACACACATCGAACCACTTCTCGGGGATGGGCTGCCGCGGGAACAGGCCGTTGGGAGGCAGCCCCGGGCGCCGCTGCCTGTCCTCAGCGCTGGCCACCCTCCAGTAGGCGCTGCCTTTGAACAGGAAGACGGCCCTGTGCGCGTAGGAGTAGTAGGCGGCGTCCAGGTTCCGGAGCGGGTGGTTCCACGGCTCGATCGCTGGGAAGACCTCAGTCATCTTCTTCGGGGAAGAACCGAGGACTTGGTTTCTGTTGACATCAAACGCAAACACCTGCAGGGCAGAGAGCACGGTGGCCTTTCTGAGATCACTGGCTCAGCAGCGAAGCAGGCCTGTCTGTCACGGCACCACATCCCCTGGGCTCCAAGTTCTTAACATTCTCCCGGCCCATGTGGCTCAGGTTGAGTGCCGACCCAGGAACCAGGGCAGGCTCCATCCCCAGTGTGGGGTGCGCAGGAGGCAGCCGATCCATGATTCTCATCATTGATGTTTCTCTCCCTCTCCCTCTCCCTCTCTGAAATCAATAAAGATATCTTTTAAAAAATACATAAGGTTCTTAATTTTCCACATGATGGGGTGATCTGTTGTTGCCATTTAGGCATGCACTAACAACACAACCTTTTTTAAATTTAATTCTTACCTGAGGATATATTTATTGATCATTAGAGAGAGGAAGGCAGAGAGAGACAGACAGACATTGATGTAAAAGAGAAACATTGATCAGCTGCCTCCTGGAAAGTACCCTGATCGGGATGGACCTCCCGGGGCTCGGGACGATGCTCGAACCAACCACGTCACCCGGCCAGGGCAGTGGCAGCAGAGCGTTAACCAAGAACGTGGTCGCCTGACATTTCAGCAGGGATGGTAAAAGCAACACCAGGCCCTGGCCGGTTTGGCTCAGTGGATAGAGCGTCGACCTGCAGACTAAAGGGTCCGAGGTTCGATTCCGGTCAAGGGCACAGGCCCAGGTTGCGGGCTCGATCCCCAGTGGGGAGCATGCAGGAGGCAGCCAATCAGTGATTCTCTCCCATCATTGATGTTTCTATCTCTCCCTCTTCCTTCCTCTCTGAAATTAATAAAAGTATTAAAAAATAAAATAAAAGCAACACCAGGCTGCACAGCCTCCACTTACCCAGGACCCTTTGAAGAAGTAAATCAGCTGCTTCCTTCGGTCATAGAAGGCGGTGTCCAGGGGACTCGGGATGCCAGGAAACCCTTCTGAGATCAGCCGGGGGTAGCTGTGTCCTTGCTCATCTTCCGTGTAGGCCTGATCCCTGTCGCTGTCGTATCTCCAGTACCGATTTCCTGGGAGCCAAACAAAAGTGTTGCCGTGGCTTATTACCGCTAAGTCCGAAAGGACAGAGCAACAGCTTTCCGTACAGGCCCCAGCCAACCGAGGAGTCCTGCGGGGACTGTGGGAGGAGGCTGGACTCCCGCATCTGAGTGAGGCCTCCCCCCAGATGAACGCTTTCCCCGAGTTACTTCTAGACTTGACCCCAGGGGTCCCTGTGTTGCCAATATCGATTACAGTCAGGACTGAAACCACAGAAGGGTGTGCTCCCTACTCTGAAACATCCCAACTACAGAAGTCTGCCGGAGACCATGCCTTTATGTCACTGAACTGAAAGAATGCTTTGTATGACGTGAAGGACCATTAGGACTAAACGTATTCATGGATTTCTTAGGGCAGATTTTGCATGCAAAGTTGTGTCAGTCTGGCTCTTGCCTCGGGGTTAACTCCCGGCTCCCATTTAAAGCAACATGGCTCTGTGCTGGAACTCCGGCTGCAGGGGAAGGAAAGGCAGCGCCTACACACACCGCTGCTCTGGGTGCTCCCCAAGACCGCCAGGCCCCCACCTCAGGTCCTGCCTCCCCCAGAACACTGACCCTCCCACCCAGAGTTGCCTCCATTCCTCGCTGCCTGGGCCCCGCATTCGAGGCTCTGCGGGGGCTGACCTTGTCCTTCCAGCCTCACCCATCGCGTGAGCGCCTGGCCACCTCCAGGGCACAGCCATCTCACTGATCCGCTCATTCGCTCCCAGCCTCCAAGCCCCCCATGGCACCCCACTCAGGGTCCTCTCCTGGGCACTCCAGGTCCTACCCCTTCTTCCAGTCCTGACTCCTGGGGCGGCTTCCGCACCTGATTTGGGGTCACAGCAGTTGTCCCCTCTGCTCGCTCTACCCCTTCACTTGTCATTGGGGAGGGGTGCGAGGGCGGGGGGGGGGGGTTTCTCTCCAGAATCAGATGAAAACTTCTGCAGGGAGGGCGCTTTCTTACAGTTCTTTGGCAACCTCGTCAGAGCCCCGCCCAGTCCACTCACTCACTCATTCATTCGATGCATCCATTCAGTGTCTGCTTAAGAGATGAGGACACAGCACAATCCCTGTGCTCAGAGTTTACAGCCCGAGGGAACTGGCAGGAGTTAAGTTCAAGAGCGTTAGGGACGGCTCCCCAGTCAGGGCGCAAAA